TCGTCTCTGGATTTTGCCTATTGTAGAAAGTTTGTATTTGCAGCCAATGGGGAATGCCGTGATGAGGGCATCTCCTGAGGGTGTTCTTGAATCTCTCCCAAGTTTCGTAGAGAGTTTCAGAGTCTTCTTGGTGGTAGGCGACGATGTCGTTCCTCAGCTTCACCGTCTTGCTTGGTGGGAAATATTTGGCTATGAATTTTTCAGCCAACCCGTCCCACGTTGTGATGGAATTCCGTGGTTGACCGTCAAGCCACTCCCGTGCTCTGTTGTCAAGAGAGAACGGGAATAGTCGAAGGCGAATAGCATTGACGGATGCACCATTGATTTTGATGGTGTCACAGAGCTCCATAAATTTCTTGATATGAGTGTGGGATCTTCGTCGGGCATCCCATTGAATTGCACCCGATTTTGGATCATTTGTAGCATCCCAGTTTTGATTTCGAAGTTGTTGGCTTCGATATTGGGCCTTCGGATGCTTGAGTGAGTTCCGTCCAAGGTAGGACGGGCATAATTAGACATTGTCCGATTGTTCACTTCGGCATGTTCTTCCGCCATTTTGTGTGGCTGCACTTGTTGCTCTCTCCTTCGTTGACGAAGAGTTCTCTCGATCTCGGGATCAAGGTCGACTAGTCCACGTGGGTGGTTTTGGGTCATGCACTATTTCAAGCACAAAAACAAGAACAAGCCGTGAAAGCAACAAGTGTGATATAACAAGTAACAAGAAAAATAAAGCGACTAAATTAATAGTTCAAAGCTTTTTCTAATAACTTAGTCCCCGGCAACGGCGCCAAAAACTTGATCGCCCGTAACTAACACAGGAAAAATAGGCAAGGGTACCTATCGTTCTAAGGTAGTATAGCAGGAAGCAAGGTCGTATCCACAGAGACTTCGTGTACTAGTACTCAGCTTTTACCTATTACCTAGTCAATCGTTTTTAGTTGATTTTCGTTTGGAAATAAAAACACACGCAATAATAAAAATACAATAAAGTAGTTTTCAAAGTAAAATCAATTGGAGAAGGCGTTGTCCCGGAAGTGAATCCCCCTAATATGCATTTTACAGACAAGTTGAATTTAACATAGACGAGTGTTAATATCTTAGACTGTGAAAATTCCCAATTTAGTGTTAACCCGTTCGCACATGTATTAACGTCCTTTCGACTTAAGAATCAAGTGAAACCGTGGCTTACAAAAATCTTAAACCAAAGCAATAACAAGATTTATGAATTTTCGTATTAGGTTTTTAAGCTAATCCAGAGGAACTACGTGACCCCATCGCCAGTGGCTCCGATCAATTCCTTCTTTTCACGAGGGATCTAACATGCAAAATTACCTCGCAGTCTCATTTACATGTATCAGACAAAATATACAATAGACGCGTACTATTGATACTTGCACATGATAAGTCGAGAAAAGATCGTAAGAACGAGAACAACACGTCTATATCAAAGATACCACTCAATCAATGTAAAACATATTAGGGTTACAACTAGAAGATTAGCCGGACATGATGAGATTTAGAAAGATGAAGATTGAGAATATTACCATGATGATGACGACGACGAAGACGGAGGGGTTGAGAATAGGGTATGTATATTGAGTTAATAGATTACACCTAGCAAACTTCCGACGGGGGAATAATCGTTGGGCGAAGACGGTGGAAATCGACCAATCTACCACCACAAATGATTATCAAAACCCCACAGAATAGAGGCTCACTTCGGTAATCTCAATAACGCAACATACCACGGTATTCCCAAATACGATGTAACACCTCGGTATTTTAGAGTTTGATCGGTTGGATTGACGGTTACGTACTAAGAGTTATAATCGCGGATTAAGAATAATAATATAATAATAATAAAACGTTATTATTATAACTTTAATTATAAAAAAAAATAAAAAAATATACAAGAGGCCGCGGGAGCGGCCCTGCCCACTCCCCAGCAAACCTATTAATCACCCAACATCTAAATCCCCCCTCCCCTCAATTTATCCCGCCGCCATCCCCTTCCCAACACCTCCGTCATCCCGCGGCGATAAGAAGAAAAGAAAGGGAGCGCCAGCTCCCCATCCCGACCCCAATTCCGATTCCGATCCCAATCCCAATCCGAATCCCATCCCTTTCGTGTTTCTAGGTAAGGATCACGAACCCCTTCCCGATTTCTAAACTCGATTTATCGATAGTCTAATCTGAAGCTCGTATTTTATTAGCGGTGACGTTTGAGGGTTCAATCAACGAGGAGATCAACGTCCCAGGTCATCCAACCTAGGCCTAGGCACGTTCTAGAGGTAAGGGAACTTGATCCCTTTTAGTTAGATCGATCGATTTGGTGATTTTTTATGAGGATGCAATTCTGGGTTTTTAGCAACAGGCGTTACAGGCTTTTGGTGACAGATTTTGATTGGTCACTAAAGCTGCTGGGAATTTCCAGAAACGTATTTTTGGATGGTTTTAATTATTTTGAGATTCTGTGGGTGTTTGTTACTGAGTGTAATAATTTTTTAAAAATGAAGGAGGTCTAGGAGATGGCTTTAATTTAATTTGGTGATTTTTGAAGATGTATTTCTATTTTTAGAAATAGTTTGAATATTTTTTAATTAAATAAAAATCTTTCCGATGGGTTTTTAAGAGTTTGATAATTTTCTAGGGTATAGGCGCTCATGATTGACATGGTAAAATTATTGTCCAAAATTATAAGAAGGTTCAAGTTAGGTGAAAAATTCGTCCAAGATAAAAATAATTAAGAAAAATGGCCGTTTTTGAATGGATTAATTCAAGAAAATTTTAATGTGGTTAAAGGACCTTTGGAATGAGGTTCAAGGGCTGGAGTTTGAGGAGAGGATGTTCTAGTTAGGGGTGATAATCGGTCTTCGGTTTTTCGGTTAACCCGTCAACCGAACCGAAACCGTCGGTTTGATGGCCAACCGAAAACCGAGAATGGGTTGCGGTTTGCGGTTGCGGTTGCCTGTTTCCGGCTTGGTTCAGAGTGTAGCGGTTAGCGGTTAAAAAACGCAACCGAACAGACTAACCGCCAAAACCGACCCAATCAGTCAATTCAGTGTCGTTTCTCTTTGGGCGACCTCTTCTCTTCTCGGCCACCCAGTGCTCCGCCTCCCCTGACCTAATTCTAAATCCCAAATCGAAGACGAAGGAGGCGAGGCGATATCAGAAAGAATCTCAGCCGCCGCTCCTCCGCCTCCCCATTTCTGAACAGCTGAACCCTAGCCTCGCCGTCAAGCTCGTCGCAGCGCCATCCTCCCGCTCCCGGCCTTCTTCGCGTCGCCATCCTCCCGCTGACCAACGCTGCTCCGCCTTCTTCCCCCATCTAATCCGGCGGCGGTGGAGATGAGAGTGGAGAAAAGGGGCTTTGCCAGCAGGACAATCAAATCCTCTCCGGCGTCGAGATCAATTAGCCGAGCACCATGCATGTCCTCCGCCGATGGACCCTACTGAAGTTGTCGCCTCTGCCGATAAGAAAGCGATGATGTCAAGATCCAGCCACTTTTGGTTTCGCTCCAAGGCAAAGGAGAGAAGGTAGACAAGAGAAGATAGATGGAAGGATTCAGAGCAGAGGAAGAAGTCGACGGGAATTGATGATTTTCTTGGAATTTTGGTGAGGGTAGAGGGTGGCAGAGAGAGCTTGCGATAGAAATGGAGAGGTTAGAGAGAGGGGTTTTCTTTTGGAGAGAGGATAGGGTAACAGAGAATGAGATGGGGAGAAGGATCGAGAATGCTAGAGGGTTGGAATTAATGTTTTATATTTTTTTGGAATTTTTATTTTTCTTTTCAATTAATTTTTGGTTGATAGTTAACCGACAAACCGAACCGACACCGACGGTTAGCGGTTTCGGCTAACCGATTGGGCAATCGGTTGCGGTTGCGGTTGGCTGTTTTAACCTCTAATAGGTGTCGGCTAACCGACCCGTCGGTTCGGTTTAACCGCAACCGAACCGATTATCACCCCTAGTTCTAGTGATTCAAAAGGGGTTTTAAATCAAGAAAGGTCGTCTAAGAAAATGGATTCTTATTAATAGGTTTCCCCAAGATAATCCGGCTAAGGAGGGGTTTCTTCGAGGAAAGAGTTGAGGAGTCATCTTTTCGAGGTGAGTGTAAAGGGGGTAAAATCTCTGTCGTAGGTCTTTTAGTTTATGCTTTTCGTTCAAGTTATTTTTTAGTTAATTTTCTAGTATGCGCGATATGTGTGTGAGGCATCCCACCGCCTATAAGGGTGGTGGAACGCGTTGTGCTATGTATGAATGTATGTATGTTTGATGGTATGAGGAACCCCCGGGCGGTTGGGCCACTACAGGACACAGTAGATGGTCAGATCACTGCTGGACGGCGAGACGTAACGCAACAGTTGATCGAGTATGTTGGGGTCACTACTGGACGACGAGATGTAACGCAGTAGTTGACGGGTATGGACTGGACGGCGAGACGTAACACAATGCCATTGCCGAGTTTGGGTATGCAACCGGATGACGAGACGTAACGCGGTTGGCATACTAGAGTAGGGACACCGGACAGCGAGACGTAACGCAGTGGTCTCTTGTGTTGGTGTTTTTGGATTAAGAATATAAGTAAGGGAATTCTAAAGATAAGATAGGAGTAGAGATCTCTTATAGACTGTTTAATAGTGAAGTTTAAAGGATGAAAGTGAGAACGACTTTCGTCTAAGGAAGGCATTCCCCTAATAATGTGTTTAGGAAGGAGTTTGCCTAGAGCAAAGACCTTAGGAGGTAATGACGAGACTGACCCCTTCTCACTCAACAGGTCGAGGAAGGGTTAGCAGAGGCAGACTACAAGAAGGGGCAAGGCGATGTGAGCAGCTGCACCAGCATTGATGAGAAGTCAAGGAACTCGTGAAGAGTCAGAGCTAGAATAGTTTAATTTCTTTGTTACATGGTTAGGAGTGTAAACTGGAGATTCTGAGTTCTTTCATTTTAACTATTGGGATTGTCATTTGCCCAAGTGTACAGTCTTTTTGTTTGAAATTCTTAAACATTGTCAGTTTATTGATTTTAAAAAATTGTTTGGGTTGCACCGGAGTAACCAGTTTGTGGTTTGAGTTGTATTTTGGTTTTGAAAAGAGGCGGGACGTGTCATTTCTTAAAAACCCATCGGAAAGATTTTTATTTAATTAAAACAAATATTAGAACAATTTCTAAAAATAGAAATACATCTTCAAAAATCACCGACTTAAATTAAAGCCATCTCCTAGACCTCCCTCAATTTATAAAATTATTAAACTCAGTAACAAACACCCACAGAAGCTCGAAACAATTAAAACCATCCAAAAATACGTTTCTCGAAATTCCCAGTAGCTTTAGTGACCAATCAAAATTTGTCACTAAAAGGCTGTAACGCCTTTTGCTAAAAACCCAGAATTGCATCCTCATAAAAAATCACCAAATCGATCGATCTAACTCAAAGGGATCAAGTTCCCTTACCTCTAGAACGTGCCTAGGCCTAGGTTGGATGACTTGGGACGTTGATCTCCTCGTTGATCGAACCCTCAAACGTCACCGCTAATAAAATACGAGCTTCGGATTAGACTATCGATAAATCGAGTTTAGAAATCGGAAAGGGGTTCGTGATCCTTACCTAGAAACACGAAAGGGATGGGATTCAAATTGGGATCGGGATCGGAATTGGGGTCGGGATGGGGAGCTGGCGCTCCCTTTCTTTTCTTCTTCTCGCCGCGGGACGACGGAGGTGTTGGGAAGGGGATGGCGGCGGGATAAATTGAAGGGGGGGGGGGGATTTAGATGCTGGGTGATTAATAGGTTTGCTGGGGAGTGGGCAGGGCCGCTCCCGCGGCCTCTTGTATATTTTTATTTTTATAATTAATGTTATAATAATAATATTATAATAATAATTATTATATTATTATTTTTAATCCGCGATTGTAACTCTTAGTACGTAACCGTCAATCCAACCGATCACGTATTAAAATCGAACCTAACTCTAAAATACTGGGGGTGTTACATTTCCCCCACCCTTATAAAAATTTCGTCCCCGAAATTTGATCGGAACTCATCCTTCTATCAACACCCTTCTTATACTTCCTTCCCTTGATCATCTATTCTTACTATAACAACTTCGATGGTACCTTTTGCTCAAATAAGTCTCCTTAGCTTGCAGCACTCGTGTAACCATAAGTATCTCACTGCCCTTCTTACTCCCCAGCTTGATCCAAACATGGTGAAACAAAATGCCAATTCGGCTTTTCATGTTGATCCAATTCTCCTGGTAGTTGATGTTCAACCTAAATCCAAAATCGAGACATCACATACGAACACAAACATAAGAACAACGATGGATGAAATACGAGATATGATTAACGAAATAAAAAGAAGTAACAAGAGTTTGGAATGAAAATGGACAGAGTTTCGGCTAACTTCAAATACAAGAAAGGGAGAACAAAATATAGAAGTAGTGTCTATAGTGTGTGTGTGTGTCTCCCTCCTCTATTTATAGTATGAACTTGGCATCATTGTTGATTTGTTTATTTCAACAACTTGTTTCAGCTACTTGCTTAGACAGCTGCTAGCTTTCATTCAAGGACGAGGCAATTATCAGCTACTTGCTTGAGCTCTTTGTCCATTTAATTCTCCAGCTTGCTTCCATTAAATTGACCTGGTAGCTTGCTCCCACTTAACGTGATTTGCACGAGCTACAGGCTTCAGCTACTAGCTTCTCTATGATCGAGCGATGAAGGCAAGGGAGGAGGAGCTGCTTCCTTAGGACGTCGATGCAGTTGCTTGCTTCCCGAATAATGGATCTGCTTGCTCCTAAGTATGGACCAGCCTGCTTCCCAAGTAATTGACCAGCTAGCTTCTATTATTGGGACCAGCTTGCTTCTTCATTTGACGTCAAGCCATCCTCCAGCTGCTTGCTTCTTTATTTTGACCGGACCAGCTTGCTTCTTTGTTTGGACCGGCAGCTTTTCCTTATGTTTAGCAGTAGGTAGTTTGACTCTGCAGTTTGCGGTTCTCTTTCCGTGATTCATCACCATAATACACGATAGGTCTCGTATATTGATAACAAAAGGGGACGCGGCTGGAGTGGTACGGCTCTTTGCCCTCGCCTGGGACGTCGCGGGATCGAGTTCCAGCGACGCCAGATTTTGAACCCTAACCATCTTTTTGTTGAATTGACTCATTATTCCGTTCTTATTGGATAAAATACCCTGAAACATGACTCAAACAAAAAACCAAGCATAAAATCGGGAAATCGAATGAACTTGGTACAATTTATGTTATTTTAGGATGTAAAAGTGTAGGCGAATATATGTATAATTTAGTTGTTATCACGGGTCGCGTCTCTGCATTAACTTCTGCCGACGAGTTCATGCCGCCTGTTTCCAGTGGTCGCTGTCGGGTACCACCTCTACCAACACCCTCCTATTGTCGTCAACAATCAGCATCACCCTCTCTCATGCCTGAATTCGAGAATCTAGTGATTTTGGAAGCGAAATTGAAGAACTAGGGATCTTGAATTTGGGGGGTTTTCCAAATCCGAATCTCGGGTACAATTGCTTATGCACCAGGAGCAAGCTTATGCTCCTACCCGACCTTGACATAATCCATTAGAAATAAATAAGCTCGTCGCACTCCTTCGCCTGAGCGAGCGCCGAGTTCAGCACTTCGTCGTAGATTCTTGGCAGCTTTTTGGCCAGATATTGCTTTGCAACTCAACGAATCTTAGTTGCAAAAGTGGAGAAACCCCACCAGCCTCTAAATCTCCTCTGAAACTCCACCACCAACAGCAGAAGTCGGCCAATGTGCTGAGGTTACGGATTGAATTAGGGATGTAGGAGATTGCTGATGGAATTTGGGATCTTCTTTTTGTTTTAAGCATTGGAGAGTTTGTGAGGAAGACAGATTTGGTTTTATTTTAATTTTGTTTAAAAATTTATTTTAAATAAAAATGAATTTGCATCCACCTATTATTGAAAGCTGAGTTGTCGATGACGCATTCGGTGAGTTGGCAGTCTAGTAAGCGTATCGTTAAAATAACTCACGGTGTTACTGACGATGTTAAAGTTTCAACGAAAATGACTATATTTGTAATGAAACTTTCCGAATTCTAGTTATAAGTGGTATTTCTCCAAAATAGGCTATTATTGTCACAAGGCAAAAGTTTTAACTATACAAGTGTATTTTTTCGAATAATAATAATAATAATTACTTCTCCAATTGTTACAAACATGTACACAAATTTCAAACTTAACTACTCACGCAGTCACGATGTCAGCCAACATATTATTATTATAAAATTTAGCACAATTTGTTAGCAACTAGATAGCTACAACCAAACCATAATTTAACATTTTAATGATCAAACTTCAAAGACTCTTACTACTGCCACATAAACCACCACAAATCAAATGATACTTTCTCGTCCAATTCATATCTGCCTTGTTTTTTGTGTTCGTCTTTTCGTTCTTTCATGACTTCTAATGAGTCTGACATGCTATTATTCTTATTCCTTTCTAAATTGTTAGTTAGCAACTCGTCTGGTTAATAACTTTAGCTTCGTTTAGTTTTGGTGATTGTTTGGTTGGTATAATTACAATGCATTCTTTTTTTGAATTTTCTGCACAAACAATACATGTATTGTTTGCTTGATGTGATGGAAACTATTACTCAAAATGAGTGATAGTAATATCTCTAGTAAAACTTGAGATTGTTGAAATAGTTTTAAGAAGATTGTTGGGTTCCTTTTTGTTCCAATTATACCCCTAGTTATATCTCTATGTTCTAATAAAAGTAATGGCAAAAGTGAACTTTCACACAAAAAGTAAAATAACTTGTTGATTACTAAAGGCAAAATACACTTGTATAGCCAAAACTTTGACAGTTTTGCCAAATATAGCCATTTTTTACGAAATACCAAAAATAGCAATTTTCGTCCAGTTCTTTGACAGCGTGACTTACCGTGCTGACTGGATTAACGGATAATCCGATGTGGCGATTTTCGTCCGGTAAGTATTTTCCACGTGGCTTTTGAATTTTTTTTTTGAAAAGGGTAGGTCGAACATATCAGAATCCCCCTCTCTTCCTTTTCATTTTTCCTTTCTTCTACACTCGACAATTCTCTTCCCCTTCGAACCCTACTCATCTGACGAAGACTACGAAAAACGTTTCCTTCTCCAGAACGGCGGCGGTGTTCGCCGACGACGAGCGTCCTTTTTTTGATCGATCCCGCAATGACTAACAAAACCCCTTTCCTCATGCCAGATATTCCTCCCACCCACTCATCCCACACCCCAAACTTCCTCCTCCGAGTTGGCGGCGATGCATCCAGCTGGTTAATAAAGAGTCGGCGAGCACATTCCGGCGACGCGATTGACTTCTGGTGAGCTCAAATCGACCATCCAGAACAAAAGAATCCCAAGTTGACATTGACAGAAAAACCCTAATCATCAGGAAGCTTAGGGGAATCTCGGGCGGTTGATTTTCTGGGCTTCTTCCTTTCATTCGACCGGTGAGTAAATCTCTGGTTGTCGATTTTCCTCTTTTCTCTTGTTGCAAATGTTCGATTGTGGGTGCAGTGTTGTAAAGTTGTGTTGGTTCCTTTATTTTATAGATCGTAGCGGGCCATAAAGGCAGGAAAACGACACAACAAAGGCATAGCGGGACCACTGGTTGTCTTCTCTCTCGAGTTTGCCCTTGAAATCGAAGGTAAGCAGCTCAACATTCTGGGTACAATCGTCATTAGTTTGGAAAACCCTAGGATAGAATAATGTTTATTAGGTGGTTCCGCCTTTGTTGTTTAGTGATTTAAACACTAATTAAACTAGGTTAGTGATTCAATTGTGATTAGAGAATTAATTAATTATGGGGTTTACTTACCAAAGTGTTGGTGTGCCTTGTACATATGGTGAGTTCATGGGAAGAGCATGATCCAAATCACTAAGCCAATTCGGGTGACTACTTTTCAGCAAATGAAGGTGAAGCTGCCCATTCTGTAGCTCGACAAATTCACTATGTGTATTTCTCGGATGATGCGGACACATCCGATGATGAATACCATGAAGCAAGGAACAACCTTCGAGCCTACAGTGAGATGAGAAAAAAGAAGGTGAAGACAAGGGCTGATGGTAATGGGAAGGAGGTGGAACAGTTGGATGAGTTTGACGAGGTGGATGCTGAAGAGGGGGTATCAGAAGAGGAGGTAGAAGAAGAAGGAGGTTTAGATAATGACAATGTAAACAATAAAGATGAAGCTTCTCAAACTCAGCACGCACCTCCAACTGAGCAAGCACGTATGGAGACATCAAACCATTCGAGCTATAGACTGTCTGAGGAGTCTGACCATGTGCGAGGAAACTTATCCGACGAGGCTAGTGTTGATATATTAGACACCACACCACACTACGATCCTGGGTGTGACCACAAGAAGTTCCAGTTCGTCGCTCGTATGAAGTTCGAGGATCCTGATCAATTTAAGAGTGTTGTAGTGATGCATTCCGTAGCAGCTGGGGCATATTTGAGGTGGGTTAGGGTTAACCCTTCGAGGTTAGAAGTAAAGTGTAAGGACAAGAATTGCAAATGGCGAGTTTATGCAAGCTGGTTTAGGAAGAAGCAATCTTTCATGGTCACAAAGGTGGGGCTGCCACACTCATGTTCGAGGCAGCTCAGGGTTAATCAAGTGACTGCCAAGTGGATTGCCAAAGACATGCTTGAAAGGTTCAAAAACAATCTTGAATGTGCACCAGATCAGATCATGGCCGAGGTGAAGTTGAAGCATAACATTGATGTGAAGAGAAGGAGCTGTTACAGGGCTAAGGTGGCAGCCATTAAACTTCTGAGTGGATCGTTGAAGGATGAGTACAAGAAGGTACGGTCATATTTGGGTGAGATGAAGAAACGAGATCGGGATGGGAGGTTTGTTCTAGAAGTTGACCCACATCCTACACAAGAAAAGGTCTTCTTCCAGAGAATGTTTATCGGGTTCTCCAACATACGAGATGGTTTTTTCTTAGCCTCTTGCCCAATGTTCGGACTAGACGGCTGTTTCTTGAAGGGTGAGGTGAAGGGTATGCTACTTACAGCGGTTGGGAAGGATGGCAATAACCAGATGTACCCAATCGCCTAGGCAGTAGTAGAGGGAGAGAACACCAACTCATGGAGGTGGTTCGTTACCATTTTTTCCCAGGAATTAGGACAAACAGATGGAAGGGGTTGGACAGTTATCTCAGACCAACAAAAAGTTGGTTTTGTTAACTAGTTGCTGCTGTTTTCTTATCTTAGGACTAACAGACGGAAGTGTGTGTTATTTTTCCTGTTTCCTATTATGTTTGATATTTTTGCTAACTTTTAACCATTTATTTTTGCAGGGTTTAGTTGATGCTATAGATGAGTTGTAGCCAGAAGCTGAGCACCGAAAGTGTGCACACCACGTTTATGCAAATTGGAAAGCAAAGAACAAAACAGATCAGGTTCGTAAGCTCTTCTGGAAATCTATTTATGCTTGTAACGAAGGGGATCGGAAGAAAGCAACAAATGAAATGGAGGCAATAGAAGGTACTGATCTTGGTTCTACTCCTTTCAAAGATTTCATGGATGATGAACCTAGAACATTCTGTCGATCTTTCATGTCGACTGTATCTAAGTGTGATTCCGTTGAAAGCAATATCTGTGAGACTTGGAACGGAACAATTGTGAAGTTTAGGGGAATGAGGATAATTGACATGCTAGAGGGGATTAGGTTGCACATGATGGATCAGTTCGTGATTAAGCAAACTATGTTGATGGATACCCCTGGTCTGTTATGCCCTACAATTAGGAAGAGGGTAGAGAAGGAGAAGGAATGGTCTCGACTGTGTATTGCTAGGCAGACCTTGGATGCCAAGTGTGAGGTCAAAATGGGTGATTCGGGTTACATTGTCGAACTGAATGACAAGAGTTGTACCTGTGGATATTAGAAGTTGAGCGGCGTGCCTTGCTGCTATGCGGTCTCATCAATATCCCACTTGAGATTAGAGGTGGATGATTATGTTCATCCATGTTACCATGCTCACCATGTCGTTGAAGGCTACAAGGTCGACATCCTTTGCTTAGATGGCAAGCAAGCTTGGCCAGAAGGGATGAGACTTCCAGTACACCCACCCAAGCAGAGGGCCATGTCGGGCAGGCCAAAGAAGAACCAGAGAAAGATTGCTCACGAGTTAGAAACTCGACCACAAAGGAATGGAGTTGGAGAAGAGGTAACTAGAAGCGGCACTGTAATGCATTGTTCGAAGTGCGGTGGTGAGGGGCAT